TTCATCGCTTCATCGTTTGTAAAAATCGGCTGGTGTGCGGCGGCCTTTAAACGCTTGACTATTCGGCACACAGCTTCGCGTTAAAAACCGCGTTATTCGAGAGATGAATCCCTCGTCACGTCGTTAGGACGCTTACGTTATACTGTGCTGTAAATAACTACAATTATTATGTGTACTGTTATTATGTTCCGGTTATTGTCAGCAGTTATGGCATGCAGAAACCGAGATAATCCAGTGATTCCTCAATCAAATTAGGAATCAACTCCCTTTCTCTTGCTGCATGTAAGCTCTTGCTTTCCAAATATTTAATTTTTACTAGAATCATAGGGTAATCCTGTGTATTTTAATTGTTACTGAATATCATTATATGCGCAGATGACCACTCCAGAGTGATTCTGGAGCCAGCCGTCAATTCCACGGGTGATTACATTAATGCCAGCATTCTACAGGTTAGCATCATCGTCATCGAAATATCAACACGAAAACATACAAACAAACTCGTCCTTATCACGGATATCAATGTAATATCGATAATAGTAATAAGGGTATCTAAGTAAGTCACAGTCTAATGAGCCATGTATATATATACATATATATCGTATTAAAAAACGCCGTTTTCTTATAGTACGTCTCGTTTATTATATTTTTGATTCGTGTTAATATTGAATTCGACTAGACACATGGCTTCATAATAATTAATGAGTTTGATTTTCTGATTTACTTGTTTAGGGATACTCGACAGACTCTGTCCTTCTGGCGGCTCAAGGTAAGAATAGAAGAAGAAGCGCGCAACACCCCCGACACACACATGTTACACACATACTATACACACACACACACCACACACACACACTACACACACACACACACACACAAACAACATACACATACACACACCACACACACGCAACACACACACACGCACACATCCGCACACACGAGCAACACACACATTCACACACACACACACACACACACACACACACACACACACACACACACACACACACACACACACAACCACAACACACCGCACGCACGCACACACACACACACACACACACACACACACACACACACACGACACGCGACACACACACACACACACACACACACACACACACACACACACACACACACACACACACACACGTGCTCCTCGCCTTCATTGGTTTGACTTGTGCTAATAACTTGCAGGGCCTAAGAAAACCGAAATAGCGGATTTCTGGAGAATGGTGTGGCAACAAAACGTGCGAAACCTTGTGATGCTGACTAGACTTCTGGAAAACGGCAAGGTTAAAACAATCGACGATTTCTATCATTAATATTATATGATCAGATATGGCGACATATATCCAAGCGGCAATAATATATATATATATATATATATTATTGTTGCTAATCTGGGATATCAAATTTCTCTTACACTAANCACGCGGTATTTCTGCTATCCCCCCCATGGGTGGCCAGTTGTCAGAACTGTAAATAGTTGTACGATTGTAGGAACGTTGTGACCTTCACGATGCATGCACGCGATGCCTCGCTCTAAAAGTCGCCATGTTTTAGACTCACGGCGATGCTATTTGTCCGGCGCGACTGCTAGTCATCCTACTAACCCCGAAATATTTTCGAGAAACGCAAACGCGTGTTTCAGACAGCGCTGGCGTGCATTCAGACTCAGAGTTCAACCTGTCATCCTCGGATAATAACAGCCATCGTAACCACTAGAATTCATGATTAGGTTGCCGAATCGGAAATTCACTAGCCCCTGGCTAGATAAATCTTTCACGATTCGTTTGTTCGAATCTCGCTAAGACGTTAATCTCCATCGTTACACTGACCTTCCACCGGGAAAAAAATTAAAATTCGATCCCCCGGGGGCTAAGCGAAAGTCCGATCCCATCCAAACCTCGGCGATCGTGGGCTATGACAATGATAATTTTTTTCGCTTGGATCGCACGCAGGTCGTTTGGAATACAAATAAATTTCAGAAATCTATGCTGAGATACCCCCTACCCATATTAAATGCATATTCATTACAAAATATAACTCTTCTGGTGAGATATTGCCCAAGCGCTAACACACTAACGTGGGCAGATTGTGTACTGTCTGGTATATGCAACAGGGACCTTATACGCAATGTGTTGTTCCTACTTCTTAAGTGAGGTCTACTGATGGAATTTTATCATGTAAATCTATGCTAGGATACCTCCGCTATATTTTTAATGCATAATCTTTGCAAAATATGAATCTTCTCGGGAGATATTGCGCATGCGCGAGCCTCATTTGCGATATGGCGATATGGCGATATGGGCTTAAAGTGATTGCGTCACGAATTTCTTGCACCATCAAGTAGTATATTTGTGTGTTATTTGTACAAAATAAAATGTATAAAATACAATTAGTGTTTCTATTTATTTTTCATGCTTATATACCTTCTTTATATGCCCTAATTTGCCGGTGAAAAACAGAGAGACGTACGCCAGTATCTGAACAGTACTGGGGGAATAGTGTTAGACAACAGAAATTACCAAATCGTCTAGATTTTTGCAATTTTAACCAACGTAAAAACATTTTTATCAGGTGAGAGTTTGAGGATATATTTAGTAACGTTTGTTCTTACTTTTAATGTAAAAAAATGGCCATTTTTTTTTATACAAATTTTACCAAGGAAAATTTGTGACGTAGTCAATTTAATCAATCTAAAATTAGGCGACCAGATCAATCAATCGATTTCGCATAACTCTAGTGACTTCCCCGTTCACACAAACGGCATATAATCGAAGCACCCTGACACCATAGATATATACAACATATATGCAACATATATATATATACAACATGTGTTGTATATATCTATGCTGACACCAACGATTAAAATTCTTCCGTTATGACTACCAGATGGCGCTACGCCAGTAACTTCCCGTACCTTTTCCTGTCAGTGAGACGCATCAAAATAAAGGCGATTGTTCTCTTACAAAATTCTACTCAGGTACTCGATAAATGCGACAGTGATAACCTTGATCAACATATAATTTTCATTCTCTGCTCTTAGATTATCGCAGGAGCTTTTAGCGTGTACTAGGGCTAACAGGGACGCGAGAACTGACTGATGACGTGAATTTCTCGATCCAAGGTCTCTGAATTCTAGAAATCGTCATCGTGACCTCATCATCGTGACTAAACAAATTAATTGTAAAAACGCGCTGATGTAATACTAACAGCAGAAACTCCGTTTTCCAGCGATTTGCTTTTCGTGACATGGCCACGGCGAGCCAAGGGTCGACTAGCGACTCGGACGACGATGAAGGTGGAGATATGGACTGGTATTATCGCGATGACGACACAGGTGAGTGGAAGTTCGCCTACGTAATTCACTAATTGTTGTATCACGTACTCGTAGGGCTAAATAAACACAAACGTAAACATGAACCCTAGCATCGCACGTATGCAATTGTTGTATCCTATAGTGCGAAATAAACATTAACATAAACCAATCCTTACACGTATATAATTGTTGTATCCTACGTGTCTAAAGAAACATAAACATAATCTAAGCATCGCACATATATGTAATTGTTGTATCCTATCGTGCGAAATAAACATAAACATAAACCAATCCTTACACGTATATAATTGTTGTATCCTACGTGTCTAAATAAACGTAACCATAACCTAACTAGTATAAGCATCGCACATATTATGTAATTGTTGCACAATCCTAGTTTGGGACCCCAGCCCTTTTTTTCACAAATGTGCTAAACTAATCTGAGGTGCTAAACTAGGATTGGGCTGTAATTGTTGCATCCTGTATAGTGCTAAATAAACATAAACATAACATCACACGTATCTAGTTGTTGTATCCTACGTCTATAAATGACGGTAAACATAAACCAAACCACACGTATATAATTGTTGTATCCTACGATGCTAAATGAACAAACGAACATAAACTAATCCTCGAGTCACTGTTTGCAGACGTTGATCACTGGGATCCGAGGAAGACCGACCGAGAGTACTTTGACTATGAGCTGCTACAGATAGAGGATGTGGAATGCCTGCTCAACGAGAGCGTAGAGGCTCTCAGCGCAAGCTCAAACGTAACGCCGCGCCGCGTGTGCATCGTCCCGTGTCGCGCCTGATGTCGCATTGCGTCGCGCGTGTCGTTCTGTGAAACGCGTTGCTGTTGCATTGGGTCGCGTGATATGTATCGTGCCGTGTGGCGCGTGCGGTTGCATTGTGTCGCGTGACTTGCGTCGAGCCGTGTCGCGCAGGCTATCGCATTGCATCGTGGTGTCGCGTATTGTGTCATATTGTGTCACTCGGCACGGCATGCCATATCGCTCATAGCGCCGTGGATTGCATTGTCATGCAGTATCAACGTGTATAATCGTCGCGAAATTCACGCCTTTTTTATTTACTTAAAAGTAAAATATGCATATCGTGCTGCTGCTGCCGCACGCGCACTCGCATCATTTCACGGAACACGCATCATCTCGCGTAATTATGTCACGCGATATAACAGGGGTATAAATTAACTTTTGAACAAGTGAGTCCAACGGACTCCCTGCCCTCAAAAAGAGGGAGTCCGCAGCAAAATGAGGGAGTTCGCAGTCTGAGGTTCAAAATTAAAGATATTAACAATAACGTGTGTGCTTATTTTGAAGATTCACGCGGTTGCACGTCTGCCAAATTGTCTTGCTCTCTTGCTGTCTTGCACGTCTTGCTGAAAAAATACGGCAATTCCGCGAGGCCGTGCTTTGGAACTAACTAGTTAGTATAGCAGAATTATCAGGGAGTCACACGGACTCCTGCATACGTCAAATCAAGGAGTCCGACAGTAAATCAGGGAGTATTTGACTCCGGACTCGCGTTAATTTTGCACCCTGATATAATATGTCCTCTTCCCATCCTATCACGTGAAAAGTGGCGTATTAATCTAACGTTGCGTGATCGTGCTGTTAAGCAGCGTATGTCGTGCATGGGCTAGCCGGGTCCTCTACATGAATGTACCTACGTATCTTGTCACACCTCCACTTGTCACACTTCTTGTCACACCTCCTCTTGTCACACCACCTCTTGTCACACCTCTTGTCACACCTTTTGTCACACCTGTCACACCTTTTGTCACACCTTTTGTCACACCTCCTGTCACACTTCCTCTTCTGTACTCTCTCTCTCTTTCTCTCTCTCTACTGTAGATTTCTCCATCGCTGGCGAAGGTTCTGCTGCATCAGCAACAGTGGAAGCTGCAGGATGTCATCGACAGCTTCCACAAGGATCCGAGCCGTCTCCTCATCGACTCCCGAGTGAAACCCTCGCGCTCCACGGCTCACGGCCAACCCGCAGCGGTAGGTACTCTCCCTCACAGTATATAGACGAACACTCGCTCCCCCGCGGTATCTTCGCCGTGGTAGGTACTCTCCCTCACAGTATATAGACGAACACTCGCTCCCCCGCGGTATCTTCGCCGTGGTAGGTACTCTCCCTCACAGTATATAGACGAACACTCGCTCCCCCGCGGTATCTTCACCGTGGTGGGTACTCTCCCTCACAGTATATAGAGGAACACTCGCTCCCCCGCGGTATCTTCATCGTGGTGGGTGCTCCCCCCAGTATATAGACGAACACTCGCTCCCCCGCGGTATCTCTACATCAGCGGGTACTCTCCCTTGTACATAGACGAATGCTGGCTCCCGCGTCGTGGGCACCCCCTCCCAGTACATAGACGAACGCTCGCTCCCCCACCGTTATCTCTGCAGCCATATCTCTGCAGTGGTATCTCTGCGGCGGTATCTCTGCGGCGGTATCTCTGCGGCAGTATCTCTGCGGCAGTATCTCTGATGCGGTATCTCTGCAGCCTTATATTTGGAGCGGTATCTCTGCAGCGGTATCTCTGCAGCCTTATATTTGCAGCGGTATCTCTGCAGCGGTATCTCTGCAGCGGTATCTCTGCAGCAGTATCTCTGCAGCCTTATATTTGCAGCGGTATCTCTGCAGCGGTATCTCTGCAGCAGTGAGTACTCCCCCGTACTTAGACGAACGCTCGCTCTCACGCAGTATTTCTGCTATCCCCCCCCATGGGTGGCCAGTTGTCAGAACTGTAAATAGTTGTACGATTGTAGGAACGTTGCGACCTTCACGATGCATGCGCGCGATGCCTCGCTCTAAAAGTCGCCATGTTTTAGACTCACGGTGATGCTATTTGTCCGGCGCGACTGCTAGTCATCCTACTAACCCCGAAATATTTTCGAGAAACGCAAACGCGTGTTTCAGACAGCGCTGGCGTGCATTCAGAGTTCAACCTGTCATCCTCGGATAATAACAGCCATCGTAACCACTAGAATTCATGATTAGGTTGCCGAATCGGAAATTCACTAGGCCCTGGCTAGATAAATCTTTCACGATTCGTTTGTTCGAATCTCGCTAAGACGTTAACCTCCACCGTTACACTGACCTTCCACCGGAAAAAAAATTAAAATTCGATCCCCCGGGGGCTAAGCGAAAGTCCGATCCCATCCAAACCTCGGGGATCGTGGGCTATGACAATGATAATTTTTTTCGCTTGTGGACTTCGCACCGCCGGGCTCGCTTCGGGTCGATTGATTGATTGCATGATGATGATGTGAGATGCTCTCTTCTTCTTGAGTATTCGCACGCGGGTCGGTTCGCCGTGATGGATGATGTATGTTTCTTTTTTCTTGGATCGCGACGCAGTGCGTTGTTGGGATGGATGATAATGATTTTCTCGTCGTGAATCACAGGTCTGCTCTGTTGGCAGTGATGATAATGATGATGATTGATGTGATTTTTTTCTCGTGTTATCTCAGGCTGTGTCGGTTGGCCAGTATGATTGATGATTGATATGGATTTTTGTTCTTCCTGGTTATCGCAGGCTGTGGTCGGTTTGGCAGTGGTGATGATGATGATGATCGATTGATGTTTTTTCTCGTGCTTACTCGCAGGCTGCGATGGTTTAGGCGGTGGGTGCATTGGATGTAATTGATGATGATGATTTTTTCTCTTGGATCGCAGGCTGTCGCCGTGGCAGTGATGATGATGCATGATTGATTGATGTTTTTCTCTTGTATCGCGCAGGCTGGTCGGTGTGGCCCCCCCAGTGTATGATGATGATGATATGATGTTTTTCTGATTGTAGCGCAGGCTGGTCGGTGGCATGATGATGGATGATGATGATGATGATGTTTTTTCTCGGTGTAGCAGCAGGCTGATCGGGTTTGCAGTGCATGATGATTGATGATGATGCATTTATTCTCGCCTGTATCGCAGGGGTCGGTACTCCTGCTGATCCACTCCTGTATCCTGCGGTGGTGATGACTGATGATGATGATGATGATGATGATGTTTTATCTCGGTGATATCGAGGCTGGTCGGTTCGGCGGTAAGTCGATGATGATAGATGATCGATAGTTTGAATTAATTAGAATGTCTATATTTCTCGGTGTAGCGCAGCGGCTCGTCGGGGGCGTGGTGAGCATGCGCCAATACGCAGATTGCGTGCAAGGATCGAATGTCATGGAGCGTACAGCCAGCGACAGCGAACGCCCGTCAAGAACGTTATCGTGCTGGACACGGACTTCTGCGCGATGCTGGGCCAGGCAACTTTGAAGACGCAGATCGCCAGGGAGCATCTCAACGGGTGAAAGTCGCCTCGGTCAAAAGAACATGATGCGCAGGAGGAGGAGGAGGAGAAGAGGTGGAGAGAGGAGGAGGAGGAGAGGAGAGAGGGAGGAGGAGACGAGAGTGAGAGGAGAGGAGGAGAGGGGACAGGAGGGAGGAGGAGGAGAGGAAGAGGAGGAGAGGAGGAGGAGGGAGAGGAGGAGGAGGAGGTGGATGAGGAGGAGGGGGAGGAGGTGGATGAAGAGGTGGAGGAGGAGGAGGCATGGAGAGGAGGGGAGGAGGAGGAGGAGCATGCGAAGAGGAGGAGCAGGAGGGAGGAGGAGGAAGGAGGCAAGAGCGAGAGGAGGATGGAGGATGGAGGACGCAGGAGGGAATGTGTCTGTGTTTGTTTGTCGGATCCTCTTGCGCTCGGTCATTTATCCTGGGTTAAATGCTTGCGCTCTGCTTGCTTTCAGAATAATAGCAGTGCGTAACGTGGAGATGGTCACGCTTTACAATTCAAACTGAAATTATTTATGGAATCATAGATCCAAAATTAATTAATGTATATGCGTAAAAATTGAATTTTGAAATGGAATTTGATGCTGTTCATCCCAAGATAAATGTTGTGCGTAGTTTGTATGTAGGAAAATAGATTCTTTAAGACATAAATGTTGCCTCTTATGTTGCTGGAATCATAAAGTGAAACAAACACTACGTGAGCAATTGTTGCGCGAATCGAATGCAAACAGCTAAACGTTGGCAATGTTGTTGCGCGAACTCGAATGCCAAGCTCAACGTTGCGCATGTGTTTTTGCTGCGAAATCGAATGCAACGGACGAAACGTTGGCCATGTTGTTGCAGGAATCGAGTGCGACGGCTAAACGTTGCATGTTGTTGCAGGAATCGAGGGTGACGGCTAAACGTTGCATGTTGTTGCAGGAATCGAGTGCATGGCCAAGGACTGCAACCTGCTAGTACCGGAGGACTTTGTCCTTGACACGGTGCTGAAGCCTGAGATGAGGGAGAAGTACCAGCAGTACGCATTCAACGACTACGTAGAGGTGAGTGGTGGCCATCTTTGATCGTAACGGTGAGTGGCGACCATCTTTGATCGTAACGGTGAGTGGCGACCATCTTTGATCAGCTTGCAGCCGATGGGTGTTAGATATATATGGAGTGGGGGTGGGACGATGTACATATTGCGATACTAACCCTTACGATATAACACGTATATATCACGTATTGATACATTTGACCATTCACGATACATGTATCTATACTCTACTGAATGTAACTCATATAATTTAGTAACATAGTTCCATCAAAAAACTACTAATTTGTAAGATTGGTAAGATTGGTAGATTGGTCCCAGTTGGAAATACAGTGTTTGGTAGTTTCTCTGTTTATCACCATATGGATCTTATCAGGAGCTAGCCACATCACCCAACGCATTCCAAATAATGCTGAGATATAAATAAATAAACAAATTAATTAATTAATAAATACATAGATATGTATATTTATGTATGTATAATGCATTGCAGAGCCATCCAGAGTTGAGATTCTGTCCCGGACCGAATTGCACGGTTGTGGCGCGTGCCAAGGACCTCCATGCCCGCAGGGTCATATGCAAGCAGTGCAAGAATTCATTCTGGTATATATACATACATATATCAGCCCCGACCCCACTGACCCCTGCTTTACCTTCCACTATCTCCCCTTCACCCCCAACAACCTCCCATCAGCATCCCTGGTTTGCTACCCACCTCACCATCCACCAAGCCACCCTCCCTCCTCTCCCACCTTCTCACACCATGTCTGCTCCTTCCTCCCAACACCTCCCACCACCTCTGCTTGCCTCCACAATCATGACCGATCCACCCTCCCTCCCCCCAACATCTCCCACCACCTCCCCTATCCCCACAATCATCTCTGTTCCACCCTCACTCCTCCCACGACCTTACATCACCTCCACTCCCTCCATCGTCACTATTTCCTCTGATGCCCTTGTATTCCAGTACCGTCATTACCACAATCCCTCGAAGGCAATCGCAAAGCGCATTTTGCGCAGTGAGTTTGGTATACGAAGGCGAGGGATTACTCTTCAGACGTCTCCTGAGGAATATTCCCTGACCTTTGCATCGAATGACGGGGGCACCCGCACGTAGGTGGCGCCATGCGTGTCGGCGGTGAGTAGGTGGCGCCGGTTGACGGTCGCGCTGCGTAGTTTCAGATGCGGCATCGACTACCACTGCCCGACGGGCTGTGACACGATCAAACGCTGGATCACCAAGTGCGCAGACGATTCCGAGACGGCGAACTACATATCTGCTCACACCAAAGACGTAAGTTTTCTCTCTCATGCCGAAGATGTGTAGTGAGCTTTCTCTCACAGCAAAGATGTAAGCTTTTATGTCACAGTGAAGATGTGAGCTTTCTCTCACAGCGAAGGTGTGAGCTCTCTCACAGTGAAGGTGTGAGTTCTCTCAGAGCAGAGGTGTAAGCTTTCTTGTACAGTAAATACGTAAGCTTTCTCTCAGACAATAAACCTAGCTTTCTATCAGACAATAGACCCAGCATTCTTTCAGACAATAGACCTAGCTTTCTCTCAGTCAATAGACCTAGCTTTCTCTCAGACAATAGACCTAGCTTTCTAACCGTCTACCCATCTTTTGGACGGCCTATTCATGGATGAGACGGATGAAATTTGATAGAGACGGCATGAGGGCGGCCCAATTTTATATATTATACACCTTATATAACTGACAACAGTGCTTATAAGAATATAAAATCATATCAGAATCCTGTCTTTTTGGCATTTCAGACTAAATTTCCTCTATTTTAAGGTAAGGCCCTCCCCCCCAGGGTGCTTCGCGCCCGCAGCATCCTCGCTTCGCTCAGATGGTGAGACTCCCTGATTTTTTTTCCTGGCTAACACCCTGTTTACTGTGTGGTATCACCGGATGCTGCTGTGTGGTATCACCGGATGCTGCTGTGTGGTATCACCGGATGCTGCTGTGAGTGACATTGTAGTGTTAGTTTGGGAATGTAACTCCTATATCTCGCCGTTTATCGTTGCAGTGTCCGAAATGCCATATATGCATCGAGAAGAATGGAGGGTGCAATCATATGGTACGCATGCAACGCGCAGAAATATATTCGTCATCAATATGATGCGATTTTTAACTGATCGAAAGAGGAATAATTGATAAATGAAGGAATAAATTATATAATGAATTATCAAGATAACATTAATTTATAATAAAAGCAAATTAGTATTTTAATATTTAAAAAAGTCTTGCAGAATATTTACCGGATAATACGGCATTAATTCTCAGTTAAAAACTTGTAAAAATCGCATCTACTTACGCTATATTGTCGGTTTTCCTCTTCCAGCAATGCTCAAAATGCAAGCATGATTTTTGCTGGATGTGCCTAGGGGGTGAGTACTATTGGTCTAATGATCTAACCTTAGCCCTGATTAAATACCCTGTTGAAAACCTCTTGTTTGAATCTGTTGTGAAGCCCCTTGTTTAAATACACTGTTAGAACTCCCGGAATATATACCCAGTTAAAACTCCTTAGTTTGAATGCCTTTTTAAAACCAGAGGTGGAGGAGGAGGAGGATGGAGAGGAGGAGCAGGAGGGGGAGGAGGAAGAGGAAGAGGAGGAGGAGGATGGAGAGGAGGAGCGGAGGGGAATGTGTCTGATGTTTGTTTGTCGGATTCCTCTTCCGCTCGGTCATTTATCCTGGTTAAATGTTGCTCGTTGTTTCAGAAATAGAGTGCAACGGCTGAATGTCACGTTTACCAATCAAACTGAAATTATTTTGGAATTATATGACCAAATTAAATTCATGTATATGGTAAAATTGAATTTGAAATGGAATTTGATGCTGTTATCCCAAGATAAATGTTGTGCGTTGTTGTAGGAATAGATTTTTAACGACTAAATGTTGCTCTTTGTTGCTGGAATCAAGTGAAACAACACTACGTTGAGCATTGTTGCGCGAATCGAATGCAACAGCTAAACGTTGCATGTTGTTGCGCGAATCGAATGCAACAGCTAAACGTTGCATGTTGTTGCGCGAATCGAATGCAACGGCGAAACGTTGCATGTTGTTGCAGGAATCGAGTGCGACGGCTAAACGTTGCATGTTGTTGCAGGAATCGAGGGTGACGGCTAAACGTTGCATGTTGTTGCAGGAATCGAGTGCATGGCCAAGGACTGCAACCTGCTAGTACCGGAGGACTTTGTCCTTGACACGGTGCTGAAGCCTGAGATGAGGGAGAAGTACCAGCAGTACGCATTCAACGACTACGTAGAGGTGAGTGGTGGCCATCTTTGATCGTAACGGTGAGTGGCGACCATCTTTGATCGTAACGGTGAGTGGCGACCATCTTTGATCAGCTTGCAGCCGATGGGTGTTAGATATATATGGAGTGGGGGTGGGACGATGTACATATTGCGATACTAACCCTTACGATATAACACGTATATATCACGTATTGATACATTTGACCATTCACGATACATGTATCTATACTCTACTGAATGTAACTCATATAATTTAGTAACATAGTTCCATCAAAAAACTACTAATTTGTAAGATTGGTAAGATTGGTAGATTGGTCCCAGTTGGAAATACAGTGTTTGGTAGTTTCTCTGTTTATCACCATATGGATCTTATCAGGAGCTAGCCACATCACCCAACGCATTCCAAATAATGCTGAGATATAAATAAATAAACAAATTAATTAATTAATAAATACATAGATATGTATATTTATGTATGTATAATGCATTGCAGAGCCATCCAGAGTTGAGATTCTGTCCCGGACCGAATTGCACGGTTGTGGCGCGTGCCAAGGACCTCCATGCCCGCAGGGTCATATGCAAGCAGTGCAAGAATTCATTCTGGTATATATACATACATATATCAGCCCCGACCCCACTGACCCCTGCTTTACCTTCCACTATCTCCCCTTCACCCCCAACAACCTCCCATCAGCATCCCTGGTTTGCTACCCACCTCACCATCCACCAAGCCACCCTCCCTCCTCTCCCACCTTCTCACACCATGTCTGCTCCTTCCTCCCAACACCTCCCACCACCTCTGCTTGCCTCCACAATCATGACCGATCCACCCTCCCTCCCCCCAACATCTCCCACCACCTCCCCTATCCCCACAATCATCTCTGTTCCACCCTCACTCCTCCCACGACCTTACATCACCTCCACTCCCTCCATCGTCACTATTTCCTCTGATGCCCTTGTATTCCAGTACCGTCATTACCACAATCCCTCGAAGGCAATCGCAAAGCGCATTTTGCGCAGTGAGTTTGGTATACGAAGGCGAGGGATTACTCTTCAGACGTCTCCTGAGGAATATTCCCTGACCTTTGCATCGAATGACGGGGGCACCCGCACGCAGGTGGCGCCATGCGTGTCGGCGGTGAGTAGGTGGCGCCGGTTGACGGTCGCGCTGCGTAGTTTCAGATGCGGCATCGACTACCACTGCCCGACGGGCTGTGACACGATCAAACGCTGGATCACCAAGTGCGCAGACGATTCCGAGACGGCGAACTACATATCTGCTCACACCAAAGACGTAAGTTTTCTCTCTCATGCCGAAGATGTGTAGTGAGCTTTCTCTCACAGCAAAGATGGTATTTCTGCGCGTTGCATGCGTACCATATGATTGCACCCTCCATTCTTCTCGATGCATATATGGCATTTCGGACACTGCAACGATAAACGGCGAGAGTTAGGAGTTACATTCCCAAACTAACACTACAATGTCACTCACAGCAGCGTCCGATGATACCACACAGTAAACAGGGTGTTAGCCAGGAAAAAATCAGGTAGTCTCACCATCTGAGCGAAGCAAGGACGCTGCGGGCGCGAAGCACCCTAGGGGGAGGGCCTTACCTTAAAATAGAGGAAATTTAGTCTGAAATGCCAAAAAGACAGGATTCTGATATGATTTTATATTCTTATAAGCACTGTTGTCAGTTATATAAGGTGTATAATATATAAAATTGGGCCGCCCTCATGCCGTCTCTATCAAATTTCATCCGTCTCATCCATGAATAGGCCGTCCAAAAGATGGGTAGACGGTTAGAAAGCTAGGTCTATTGACTGAGAGAAAGCTAGGTCTATTGACTGAGAGAAAGCTAGGTCTATTGTCTGAAAGAATGCTGGGTCTATTGTCTGATAGAAAGCTAGGTTTATTGTCTGAGAGAAAGCTTACGTATTTACTGTACAAGAAAGCTTACACCTCTGCTGTGAGAGAACTCACACCTCTGCTGTGAGAGAGCTCACACCTTCACTGTGAGATAAAAGCTCACAGCTTCACTGTGACATAAAAGCTAAAATTCGTCATCAATATGATGCGATTTTTAACTGATCGAAAGAGGAATAATTGATAAATGAAGGAATAAATTATATAATGAATTATCAAGATAACATTAATTTATAATAAAAGCAAATTAGTATTTTTAATATTTAAAAAAGTCTTGCAGAATATTTACCGAATAATACGGCATTAATTCTCAGTTAAAAACTTGTAAAAATCGCATCTACTTTGGCTATATTGTCGGTTTTCCTCTTCCAGCAATGCTCAAAATGCAAGCATGATTTTTGCTGGATGTGCCTAGGGGGTGAGTACTATTGGTATAAGGATCTAACCCTAGCCCTGATTAAATACCCTGTTGAAAACCTCTTGTTTGAATCGGTTGTGAAAACCCCTTGTTTAAATACACTGTTAGAACTCCCGGAATATATACCCAGTTAAACCTCCTTAGTTTGAATGCCCTTTTAACCCCGCGTTAAAACCCCTCGTTAAACTGCCTCATTATGACTTCTCATTAAACCCCTCGTTAAACCCCTCGTTAAACTGCCTCATTATGACCCCTCATTAAACCCCTCGTTAAACCGCCTCATTAAGACCCTCTGTTCGCTTGCCTCATTCACGTCCCACGCCCGCCATCCCTCGACGAAGCCTCCCTGGCATACTTGTATACAGGTAGATAGAGTAAGGATAAGCATATACTAATAGCTATCTTAGTATATAGCTAGTATAAGATGTACTTGATCTCTCTCCCGTTTAGATTGGAAGACACATGGCAGTGAGTACTATGAGTGTAGTCGCTTCAAGGAGAACCCGAACATAGCGAACGAGACCGTACATGTGCAGGCACGCGAGGCACTCAAGAAATACCTGCACTACTTTGAGAGGGTGAGTTAGCCGAGGGGCGGGTTGTTTTACTCTCTCTCTTTCTCACTCCTCTTTCACTCTCTCTCTCTCTCTCTCTCCTCCTCCTC